CCCTTCCCCCCCCCCCCCCCCCCCCCCCCCAATATTTTTCATAAGTCGGCGCCTATGATTGGAATAATGTCAAAATCTTGGATAACGAAAGATATCTGGAAAGAAGACTGATATCAGAAATGCTCAATATTCAAATATAAGAGAACGGGTTAAATGCAAAGTCAGACACTGAATTCCTGTACCATGCATACCTCAACATTCTAAATAATTTCAATGGTTCATGACATATATATGAGTTTGATTACTTATCTATTTTATTTTTATGACTCTTTTGTAACCACATGTTTTCTTCTTGTTTATTGATATATCTTTACACATTTTTCATACTTTAACTGTCATTCTCTCAAGAGACATTATCACGGATAGTTGTGTTACGATTTAATTACGTTTATCAACGATCTTAAAATTATTTCTCAATAATATGTACAAGGTCTCAATGTGCAGCAGGTAGGTCATATCAATTTTCAATTAAATCACTTGTAATAAATAAAATACAATAGCAATTACATTCACTTGGCTCGGTGATAGATGCTCTTCAAATTTGAAAATTTGGGACTCTCCTCGCTGCACCCTTTGACTTTTCATGCTGATTTAAGTTCCGAAGTTAATTATTGGCATCGCTGAAGATGGCTTGAACGGAGTCGAAACGTCTGTGATCAACTAATGTACAATATTTGTAAGATCTAAGAATACAGAATTTTATCATCACGCACGAAGTACCGCGTTAGTGAGTGCTCTCAATCGCCCGACATTCCACTTTCCTTATTTGTACATTTACTTTTTTGTACTTGTACACCTACTTCTTTTTGCCACATCACGCAAAGATAAATTAGAATTTCTCTTAAACAATCCGTTTCTCGTCTCATAACATGAAGGACTTTTTCTTCTAGATACAGGCTTGCGATCAATACTCTAATATTCTGGAAATTATTTCAAAACATCGTTTCGAACATTCTCGAAACAGTATAGACGTAGCCAATTGTAGTTTCCTTGCAATCTTTCTTACAGCATATCTGGAGTACATACTCCATTCGTGTGTGCGCAAATGATTTACAAATATCTTCTTCACTTTGCGCCATTTTTCCAATTAAGTCATGTGGAGTCTATTCGACCACCATTTTCCACGTACTTATTAGCTAACTTTATACCAAATATGAAATATTCTATGTACATTTGAAAAAATGTTATCAGCATTTCTCTGTGTACGGATTCATTCTTTATGTATATACATATATATACAAAAATTGCCGAAAATTAGTCTTCAATAATTTTTTACTCAAATACTATCAATTTTACAGAAAAACTGCAAAAGATGCAAATTGTTTATTTTCTTCTCATAAAACTCTACGAATTTTTTCATAATTTTTTTAGAATTTTTTCAAGAATTTTTAGTAATTAATATCTTGTTAATTATTGCGAAAATTGTAAAATTGTAGAGAACTTTTCTTCTCAGTTCAGTCCATTCTGTCCCTGTTCGAAAGATTTATCATTACTTTCCAAACATCCTGTATAAAGCATGAATTCGAAAAAATCTAGAGTTGACGATTATCTGTTTATCCGGGTATCCGGACATCCGAGATAGAAATAGATCCGAGATAAAATATCCGATTGAAGCGGATCTTTCGGATCCTGTTTTAAACTGTTTAGGTATTCGAACCGTTAAAGTTTAATGATTAAACCATTCATTATTCGAATTTCGGATCTCTCAACATTTTTGTCTATACATACAGGATATGTATATATGAGACAGCAAAAGAGTGAGGACGAAAGAGAGAAAGAGAGGAGGAGAGGTTAAATATACTTTTAATGTAATTTTAATTTTAATTTAATATAATTTTATATATATTAATATAATTTTAATTTTAATTTAATATAATTTTATATATATTAATATAATTTTAATTTTAATTTAATATGGCATAAATGAAAGTTTTAGTATACACGCACTACTTAGAACTAAATATTTCTTAAACGATAAAATAAATTATTTAAAAAAGTAGATTCCAATTTTGAAACAGAGAGACAAGAATATCGACATTGACAGGATCAAAGCAAATAATTTATTTTATCGTTTAAGAAATATTTAGTTCTAGTGTGCGTATATACTTCAAACGTTTATACTTTTAATTGTAATTGACATAATTATTGTATTTCCTTTCATTCTATACACGAATACATTAATTATATTTCACTGATCTAGTGTGTAGCATATGCTCTACCGTTTCTTTTGTTTATTTATTAGCCACGTATTGAGGACAATTTTGAGTATTGCAAAGTTTCGTGAAATCTCTGTATTAACATTTACTGCATTATTCTTAAATTGAGTCCGATTCAATTGATGGGGAGTAATGTCAATTGCAAATTCGATACATCATTTATATCAGTAAAAAGGATTTTTGAAATACGTTTTAAGTAAACAATATGTAAATAAAATCAATATTAATTAAATTATTCAAACAAATAATATTAAAAATATCAATCGACTGACGGCGCAAATTTCATGTTCTGTGGTTGGACATCTTCAAAGGCTCACCATTTAAAAACTATTGATACCACAACATTTTGCTATTGACATTTTCGACTCACTTTTTCATGAGGAATATGTATGTGCCGCCCTGCGGTTGATCTGGATCACCCTGTATATTCATTGCAAGTATTAAAAATCTGTAATATATGTAACATGAACTATACACTGTTAAAAATGTCATGAAATTTAATGTACTTTTAGGTTACATAAATTAAATTCAATTTTACGACACCAAATTAAATTTAATGTATCTGTAACTGAAAAGTATATTTGTGTATATGTACATGAAATTTAGTGTACTTTTCATAAAATTTTACAAAATTTATATTTTTTATTAAATTTTATGTAGATTTGCATGAAATTTTGATATAAATAAACATTAAAATTAAGTTACTTATAACTTCATTTTCATTGACAATATTAAATATTTTTAATATACCTACTTCAAATTTACTTCCATTACACGTAACGAAAGCAAATTTCTTTTTTCTAACAGTGTAGATTTTTAGTACTCACAGTGAACAACGGAATGCACTTACAGTTGACACAAACGTTGTTCTATCCTCTTGGCATTTAATAAATAACAAAGATAAAATAATACTTTTGTTAACTGAAAGCCTGTTCTTTTTAGCTCAACTTCTTTGCACAGTTTATCTTTTTTCTTTTCTTCCCCCTCTCTTTGAAGGAAAAAGTTCAGCTAAAAAGGACAAATCTTATATCTCCTAAATAAAAAGCAACTTTATACAGAAAGTTACATGTCATACTTTTCATCATTGCTTTGGAATATAAGAAATCAATGTTTCATAAATTATAAAGCACAAAACTGTTGGTCCACAAACAAATGTAAACAAATAGAAATAATTTGATGTAATAAATATACCATAAGTATTCGTATTTAACAAAGCAAATTGCTCATTTCTATTTGTTTGCTCATTTGCTGGATCTTGCTTCATACACAACAAAATAATGAATCATTCCTCTTCTAGTATTTCTCATGTAATGAAGTACTATGTATGTAATAGTAGTAAATATAAAGCCAAAAGTTGCAATATTGCTAGAATGTTCCTTGTTTCCTAAGATCGTAAATATACGTTACATTTCTTTCAAGATGCAATATGCGCAATATTATGCGTGCAAAGACATGTTACCAAAGTCATAAATAAAAAAGGAGATTAATACAAGAGAAACAGTTTCTAATGGATTAGTTTCTGTGCTCCAAAATATATAAGATATATAACGTAAAACATAAAAATACTTAACACACTTGATATATGTACATAAGTTCCATAAAAATCGTTAAGCTTCTTCGTTTATCGCGTTTCAATGATAAAAAATACGTAATATGGGCCTTCTACAATAAGCCGCAAGTCAGAACGTCAGAAGTCTTAACCAAATCGTTCAGGTTGGTTATTGGTCAACTTCACCGATTATGACTTAAGATCGCTTAGAACGTCTGACTTGTGGCTTATTGTAGAAGGGCTATTATACATTAGGTTCGCTATGATTATAACCTGGTTAAACCAGAATTATCATATGCGCGGAGGAAGGAAATATTTTTGCGTATTATCCAATCGAAACGGATAATTGTTCTATTACACATACCTGAAACTTTGACTATCTGCGTAGATAAAGTTTATGTAAATTCGTGCTCGAAGCACGAAGATAGCTTTCACAATTATCCACCAATTTGACACAAACGCATCTAAACGTAATTAAGATAGAAACTGCGTGAAACGGTGAAACTGAATATGTACTATGTACGAATAATATTACGAATAAGATTACAAAGCTTGCAGTGTTGCCAATACCGTAATTAAAAATAAACAAGGTTCAGGGGCTCTATTCTTGAAAAGAAACGTATACGAAAGTCTAGGGAAATGCTACAGTATACGTTACGTATACTATAGTATTTCCCTAGACTTTCGTATACGTTTCTTTTCAAGAATAGAGCCTCTGATTTGCTGTTGCAATCTAACCAATTGCGTGACTTGGCAGCCATTTATAGTACTAGTGACATATCTATTTCATTTTATCTTATACATTCTATCTCACATTATCCTATACGTCTTATCTTGTTTGACATAAACTACATTTACACGGCACCCTTAATCGGTGTTTAATAACACCGTAGTCATGAAACTGGCCAATCACAATCATTCCATTCTCCCGACGAAAAACTACGATTGGCCAATTTTATAACTACGGATGTTATTAAGGGAGGGGTATAGTTAATTCGCGGTCAAAAGAAGGCATGTTTTTATGAATTTTTTTAGGCGCTCTGGTTAGTGCCAGTGTATTGAAATAAAATTATAATAATAAAA